AATATCATCAAAAAAAGTTATCTTTTATACTAATGGTTTGAAACCATTTTAATAAAAGCCAAAGAAAGTGATAAAGATTTAATTTATTTTTAAGTGATTTAGTTTAAACCTTTAAACTGTTTTCAAAAAAGGTATTTGAAATCTAATATATCGAATTCCATGTTCAGTAAATGCCGTTTTGAATCATCCTTAAAACTTTGCAAAGTGCAGTTTAAAACGAAGTTTTGTTTTTTACTAAAGATTGGAAGAAATTTTTTCCAAACTAAAGGTCCTCGATATTGAATTTGGTACGAACTTAATTTAAGAAAGTTAATGGGAACCACAAAGTTATTCACTGAAAATTTGGTTGGATATTTATAAGAGATTTCATTAAAGTAGAATTGAAATGTTACTGGAGAAAACCCAAGTTTTGCTTTAAATATAAATAACATTACTTGATGAATATTAAGTTTATAAATATTTAAAGCTCCAAGCTGACGTAAGAGAGGTTCGCATTGTGTTTTCTATTTGCCCCAAATACTATCCTGCAAGCATGTTTTTGTTTACCATAAATTTTTTTGAGTTTTGTGTGATAATTGCTACCCCAGGAAATGTTACAGTATGAAAGATAGCTGTGTATAAACGAAAAATATAAATTTTTTAAAGACTCGTTATTAAGAAAAGGTTTTGTTCGGTATAACATGGCAATATTTTTTTAGATCTTACCTTCAATATATTTAATATGAAATTTCCATGACAATTTTTTATCTAAGAGCACTCCCAGAAAGTTTGTAGTCAATTCCCTTTTAATTATTTTATTATTAATTAAAAGATTGGGTAGTTTTAGAGGAATATTCTCGGCTTTACTAGGTTTATGGAATAGGATAAACTTTGTTTTCTCTACATTTAATGATAGGCGGTTACTTATAAACCACTCGTTGATCTTATCTAATTCTTCGTTAAATATTTTAAAAAGAACAGTAATATCTTTGTGAGAATAAAATAAATTAGTGTCGTCTGCAAATAAGATAGTATTTAATACTTTTGATGATAAATATAAGTCATTTATATAAAGTAAAAACAATAATGGTCCCAAAATAGAACCTTGGGGTACTCCACAAGTTATTAAGTTGTGTTTTGATTCTTTAAGTATAAATTGCTTTCTGTTAGTTAAGTATGATTTAAACCAAAGTAAACTTTGATTTTTAACACCATAGTTTTTTAATTTTTTCAAAAGAATTTCATGATTTACTGTGTCGAAAGCTCTGGATAAATCAATAAAAACCCCTATTGTATAGCAATTACTATTAAATCCATTTGATATATGCTTAACCAATTCAATTATTGCATGGTCAGTAGAATAATTTTTTTAAAACCGTATTGATTATTATATAAAATCTTATTTTCAGATAGATATTTATAAAGCCTTTTGAACATAATGCGTTCAATTAGTTTAGAAAAGCAGGGTAAGACTGAGATTGGTCTGTAGTTTGAAATATTGGTCTCATCGCCAGATTTAAAAATAGGTGTTATTTTTGCAATTTTTAGTTTATCTGGAATAAGACCTGATTTAAGGGAAAGATTAAAAATATGGAATAATGAGGGTTCGATAATATCAAAATCAGATTTGATTACATTAACATTTATTTGATCAATACCTGCACTTTTATTTTTTTTCAGACTATTAAAAGTATTATGAAGTTCACTTTTGGTTAAAATCGGTTCTTCCATAAATAAATCAGTTGCTGCAAGATATGAATCAAATTTTTTTTGACTGACTTTTTTTGACTGGAACTTTCGCTGCTAGGTTTGGGCCAACATCAATAAAAAAATTGTTTAATTTCTCAATAATAACTTCTTTATGATAAATCATTTTTCCCTCAGTAATAAGTTTTTGCGGTAAGTTATTTTTTTCTATTTTATTTTTCCCAATTAAGTCTTTAACACACCACGTTTTATGAGGGTTTCCTTTGTTTTTTTCAAGCAGCTTAGCATAGTAATTTACTTTTGATCGTTTTTTAGTTTTTTCAAATAAGCTTTTATAATTTTTGTAATTAGTTTCATTTTTATAAGTTTTATTTTTTAAATATTTATTATACAACTTTTGTTTTTTCCTTGAAGATTTTAGTAAGCCTTTGGTCATCCATGGGGATACAACCGACTTTGAGTTTATTACTTTCACTTTTAAAGAAAATGCCTTATCATACATTTTAGAAAATTGGTTTAGAAATAAATCATAAGCATTATTTACATCGTGTGATTGCAGTATAAGATTCCAATGGACGTAATTATTTAATAAATTTTTAAATTGGCATATGGAACTTTCATTGATTTGTCTCATGAATACTGTTGATTTGTGGGTAGCATTATTTAGAGTGACGCTCTCAGTAATAAGGAATATAGGGAAATGATCAGTTAAATCAGTCTTTATTATACCAGTTTTAAAACGGCTATTATGAAAATTGTTAGTTATAAAATTATCTCTATATCTATATTGTTTATAGTTGAGATAAGGTTGTATTCGAGAAGAATATCAATAAAAGTTTTTGCTTCACTACTTAAGGCATGGTTGAGTAAGTCAATGTTGATATCCCCAACTACGTAAACATGCTTTTGCAATATATTTTTTGTGTTTAGGAATGTGCGCAGATAAGTTTTAAATGTTTTTAAACTACCAGCTGACGTTCTATAAATAGCATTGATTATGAAATTTTTAGCTAATTTATTTATTATCTCAACGTTAATGCCTCACAATCTGTATTGTTTACATTAAGATCTTTACGTTGAATAAAATCAATAGAATTGTGAACGTATATGCTTATACCACCACCAACGCAAATATCGCGCATTTGATGAACTGATGTATAGTTTCTTAACTCAAAATTAGAATTTGTTTCACTGTTTTTAAGCTAAGTTTCTGAGAAACAAATTATTTTAAAATCATGATTAAGTTCTCCCAATAAACACTTAAAGTTTTCGAAGTTTTTATTCATACTTCGAATAATAATATGCAATATTGAAAATTATTCTTATTCTCACAGAGATATTGAGTAGATTCAGGTATTGAATAGTAGTCACTTTCTAATAAGGTTTTAGTATGATTATCAGAGTTATTATTGCTAAAAACAATATTTTTAGCATTAATATTAGAAGAGAGATTGTTCTCCATTTCTAAAAGTTAAATTAAAATTTGAAAAACTATTGATAAATAAAAAATAAAAATAAAGTATCGTTAAAAGAAATATAAAATATTTACGTTGTTTTTCGAGACCATTCGCGAACCACCAACTTGTCGTATGAAATATACGCAAACATTCCAGCTTCTCGTGCTTTTTTCATGCCCGCCCGTAGTTCTTTTCTAATTAGCATCGTCTCCACGCAATAATCCTCATTAATATAAATATTTCCCCCTTTCAATTTCCGATAGTTTTTTAGAATGTTTTCCTTGTCTTTATAATTGAGCAATTTCAAAACTATGGATCTGACTTTTTTTATTGTTTCTAGAACCAGTTCTATGTGCCCTTTCTATTTTTATACCTTTTAACTCAAGAGTTTCTTCAAATAATTTTAACACTTTAGCCTCACTATCACTCCAACTTTCATTTTTGCTTTCTTTTAAACCATCGACTCTCAGATTGTTTCTTCTGGATCTATCTTCTATTTCTCTAAGCTTACTTTTTACTTTTAATATCTCGCTGTTGTCTTTTAGCTTTGAACTTATCTCTTTTGTTTTTGATTTCACAAGTTCAAATTTTTCTGAAGCAATATCGTCATTGGTTTGAATAAATTTTTTTATTTCAAGTAAATCATTTTCTAAGGAGACGACTTTTTTATTTGTTTGTTCTAAATCATTTTCGAATTTATTTATTTTTATTAGGTTATTTATATTTTCTTTTTCGTACTTGTCAAGTCTCTCAGTGAACATTTTTAAGCAGCTGTTAAAGAAGCAAAGCTTTTCTCTTGTTTTTTCAAAAGTTTTTTGGTTTCATCTAAGTTTGCATTGCTTTGTTTTTTAAGTAAATCTGCAACAAATTTCTCAATACTTTCTAAATCCATATTATTATGTTAGTCAAATAGAAATCTTATTAAAGTTTTAATATTTCTTTTGTTATTTACAAATTAAATCCACGCTAGAAAAACACGTCCGTTTGCTTCAAATGTTGAGCTCTATAAACATATTATGTCTAAACAAGATCTTTAAATGTTAAAATTTTTTTTGCTTAAGGTTTTTATAATATTTAAAGAAACATTCCTTTTTTTATGTATATTTTTCAAAACCTTTTTACTTCCCGTAATAATGAATCTAAAGAACACTACTTTAGAGTCTTTAGATCAATTCCGCTCAACGGCATTAAGATGAATTTAGTTAAAATCTTTTGAAAAAGTTCGTTAGTTTACTAACGATCCTAGTTCTAATTGGTTCTGACGTATATTAATTATATATAGTTGTCTAAACACAATATTTCTTTTAATGTTCACAAAAAGTACTTGAACTCCGATCAAGAAAGAGCTTATAATTATGGAAAAATGCCGATAAACGATCAGAACAGATCATATTGTTATACTATAATGTTCATTTCATTTAACCATAGTCAATAGAAGTTATACCTGGTCGGGAAATCTCGCGTAATTGAAGCTGACTTTTAAGCGAAACTTAAACACTAAAAAATATCAGTCACGTGATCAAAGTAAGTGCAAACTTTAATTTAAAACGGCTGAAAGTGATATATATTTTTGTAGTGAAGATTTAGATTTTATGTTTTTGGACATAGATCAGGATCTTTTGGATAATGAAATAGAAGTAGATCTAAATGAAGCATTAAACGAGGCAAGTAAAAATTCATATTTTATATTTATACATTGTACATATTTTAGTGTAATTAAGGTTTATTCAGACTGGACTGATCCAGTCAGCAGCTTGTACATGTGTGTAAATAAATCAGTATATTTATTTATATTTTTAGCACGCTAATTTTTTTGTAGTTATGATTTATTTTTATTTTTAAAAATTTACATGTAATGGTTATTTTTAGGTGACTACATCTACTGCATTCTCATGTCAAAAGTGCAAAAAGTGTTACAAGACAAAGGGTGGGTTAACAAGACATATCCGAACAAAATATTCTGATGGAAAACCTGATACTATCGAAGCAGAAAATTTCTTATCAGTTGAGACAATAAAAACATTAGTTAATGAAGCTATAAATACTTTGCTAAGTGAAAAATACTACCCAGACATAATATTAAATAAAATATCTCAATATATCAATGTAATAAACGATCTATTATACCAACAGTGCAACAAAATTTACGAAAAGTTAGTGAAGACAGGAAATGGTGAAAATTTTTACATGGAAACATATTCTTCACTTGTATTAGAGTCTGATAAATATTTTAATGATCTTGAAAAACCTTGCAGTACGCTTATATCAACAGCATTAACTGATAAAATTTTGTATTATTACAAAACATCTTTTTCAGAGAATAAATCAATTGAACTGAAACCTATATCTGCAAAGGAATTAGATGGTCTACAATACTTGGCTGGCTACGTTTTGTCAAAATTTTTAAAGAAAGCTAAAAACAGTAAACACTATCAATCTGAAGAAACCCAAGCAATTATTTCTATTTTAAACCACTGTGTTCTTGAAAAAAATTTGTCACATGGACAAAGACTTATTGATGTTCAAAACAGAGGTGGACTGATCTCACTGACAGAAGAGTGTCAGCAAATATTTATTCTAACAGAAATAAAATTTCGGTCTGAAACTCTAAATTCAATGTTAAGGAAAGTTGACATTGCAAATATGGCATCTGAGCTAATCACAAAAACAACTGTGCAAAGTTTTTATAATGCTATTGTTGAGAACTCCTGCCAATTTAAAATTGATAAAGAAGTTAAAACAAATCTTTTAGAGAGTATGGTAAAATTATACTTAAGAGTAAGATCATTTTCGATGGCTAAAGATGTTGTTCAAAGACAAAAAGCTATGTCAAAAAAAACTAAATCAAAAGGTGGGCTTCGATCAAACATTAAAAAAGGGTCTGATAAGTCTACAATAAAGAAATAGTGAGCAGGGGTGGATATAGGATACAGGTAAGCCAACACCTCTGGCACAGTGTCAGCTTACCTGTAAGTTGCTTTATGTATATTTATGTTCTTTTTGTACCTCTGGCACGGTGTTAGCTCAAATGTAAGTTGTTTTATGTATATTTGTGTTCTGTGTAGACCTCTGGCGCGGTGTTGATTCACTCATAAGTCGATTTTTTTTATGTTTGTGTTCTGTGTAGACCTCTGGCACGGTGTTGGCTCACCTGTAAGTTGCTTTATATTTGCTATGTTATTGTTGTGTTATCATTGTTATGTTATTGTTGTGTCTGTTTTTGTTTTGTTTGAACCTCTGATGCAGTGTTGCTTTACTCATAAGTTGTTTTATGTTTGTTTGTGTTCTGTTTTAAGCTCTGGCACCGTGTTGGCTCATCCGTAAGTTGTTATATGTATATTTCCTGTGTTATTGTTGTGTGTAATCATTGTTATGTTATTGTTGTGGTGTTTCGTGTTGATAGACAACTTGGCTACCTTCACGTTGGTGTCTATTGTTAAAAATGATTATTAGGTAGTTTCATTACTGAAACTCTGCTTCTAATCATTCACTAAAAGCCAAGAATCAAGTTTTATAAATAAAATGTATAATTTGATGTTGTTGTCATTTTTTATTTTTAGTGCTGTTAATACTTCACAACAACATTCTCACAAGTTAGGTTTATTATTTATTATTCATTTAGTCAGGTGTTTTAATTTTTAACATAAATTAAAAAACATATTTATGTGCAATCTGTGTTTTCAATAATAGTTTATTCCATTGTTTAGGGAGAGTTTTGGTTGTTATAACTGATTTTGGAGAGTTCTAGAAGTTGAGTAATCTTATACTCTAAGCATTTTCTAAAAGCCAAGACGGAATGTCGTTAATTTTCATACCATTTACTAAAAGCTATATAAATATTGTTACAATTTTATAATTCAAATTAGTAATTTCGAAATTTTTTTACTGTACTGATTTATATGTAATATTATATATTAATAAATCAATGAAGTTATGATTTTTTCGTAATGTTATTTCTACGCATTTGTCCGATAAAAACAAGTTTTCCTAATGAAAAAGCATCTAGAAATTTTTATTTACAGAAATTTTATGAAATAAAATAATTTTCTTATGCAAACATAATCCGTACAAAAATTTAGACAAATTTTAAAAAATAAAAAGAAAATCACTAGCTACAAGTTAAATTAGATGGAAAAAATGGGATGCTGTATTTCAGATTTTTTTTTATATATTATTTACATAACCACTTATTTTTATAATTTAATTTTCATTAAGAAAATAATAATATGGAAAACCGTCCGAACCACATAAGTCTGAAAACAATGACATAAAATGTGTTTGTGTTTTTTTTAGGGTAGTTATAAAAGCAACATTGAATAGTGATTTTGTAATCACCCTAATATATGTGAACAATTATATAAACAAATTTCACGGTTGTTCACATAGTAAAAGTAGATTTTAAGAAAATCTTGTACAAAAAATTTTTTAACAGGTGCCTAAAGACTCATAATTATTTAACAGGTCACTAATATTTTTGAAAATAATATTAGTGATCATACAAAAATTCTATGAGCACAAAGTTTGTTATTTATGAACACAAAGCTGTTAAATATTACTTTATTCCGACTCACGATCAATAAATAGAGGTTTATTTATGGAATAAAGTAGCGATGCTGCAACACAATTTATTAGAAAAAATTAGTTCATTTTCAAAACTATTTTTATCCTTAATAAAATGAGAAAAACTAGTATAAAAAATGAAAACGATGTTTTATTAGCTTACAACATACATTCATTGTGAGGGTGAGGCGCGGAAGAAGATATAGAGTTGTATTATAATTACTCAATGGATAAAAGTAATATCATAAAATCCAATTAATACATAATTTTTGAATGTTGTACAATATATAGATATACAAAGTTATTTATATACTATATATATATATATATATATATATATATATATATATATATATATATATATATATATATATATATATATATATATATATATATATATATATATATATATATATATATAAATTATGCATAAATATTGCAATATGCATAAATATTGAAAAAGAATCCAAATCAGACTGGTTTTTTTTAATCATATGGTTTTTTTAATCATATGGTTTTTCGTGAAAACTGTTTCTAATAATAATAAAATTAATAAAATTCAAAGCCACTATACAGAGAGAAATGGTGAGGGGGGGGGGGGCAGTTAGACGATATTGTCACAAGACCCGAAGGGTTTAGGGACCCCAAATACTATTTAAGGGCCATTTTTTAAAATTATAAGAAAGTGGCTGTTCGAAAAATTATTTTTGAAAGAAAAATTGCTGTTCCTAAGAAAATGGTAACAGAAATAAAATTTGCCCTAAGCCCCAACCAACCTCGGAGCGACTTCAATAAAAAGTTTTTATGGATTATTTTCTTTAAGAAAAATTGTTTTTTATTTGACGAATTTGTTAACTCACTATAAAAAAATCACCACTTCATTTTTGATTTAATAATATATATTATAAATATAAAATAGTATAACAGTAAAATAGTATACAGTATAATAATAAAATTATAAAAAATACTATGACAATTTCGATAACTTGTCACAATATTTATATAGCTTTTAGTGAATGGTACGAAAATTAACAATATTCCTGTCTTGGCTTTTAAAAAATCGTAAAAATATTAGATTTCTAAACTTCTGTTCTACAAGAACTCTCCAAAATCAGTTATAGCAACAGAAACTCTCCCTAAAAAATGGAATGAACTATTATTGAAAACACAGATTGCACATAAATATGTTTTTTAATTTATGTTAAAAATTAAAACACCTGACTGAATGAATAATAAATAATAAACCTAACTTGTGAGAATGTTGTTGTGAAGTATTAACAGCACTAAAAATAAAAAATGACAACAACATCAAATTATACATTTTATTTATAAAACTTGATTCTTGGCTTTTAGTGAATGATTAGAAGTAGAGTTTCAGTAAAAAAAACTACCTAATAATCATTTTTAACAATAGACACCAACGTGAAGGTAGCCAAGTTGTCTATCAACACGAAACACCACAACAATAACATAACAATGATTACACACAACAATAACACAGGAAATATACATATAACAACTTACGGATGAGCCAACACGGTGCCAGAGCTTAAAACAGAACACAAAACATAAAACAACTTATGAGTAAAGCAACACTGCATCAGAGGTTCAAACAAAACAAAAACAGACACAACAATAACATAACAATGATAACACAACAATAACATAGCAAATATAAAGCAACTTACAGGTGAGCCAACACCGTGCCAGAGGTCTACACAGAACACAAACATAAAAAAAATCGACTTACGAGTGAATCAACACCGCGCCAGAGGTCTACACAGAACACAAACATAAAAAATCGACTTACGAGTGAATCAACACCGCGCCAGAGGTCTACACAGAACACAAATATACATAAAACAACTTACATTTGAGCTAACACCGTGCCAGAGGTACAAACAGAACATAAATATACATACCTCTATCCTATGAGCGAGTAAAAACACAAAAAATTGTAAATTACTTCTTTGTAGATCGTTTTTTTAAAGGAGCATTATCAACAAATTTCCAAGAAACTCTAGGTTTTTGCTTAAAACTTCCTTTTGTATTCCCTGTAACTGGTGCAATAGAACGTTGCATACGCAAGGTGTTGGATTGATAGCCAAAATGTTGGCATTATTTGCATAGCTGTTACACCATTAGTAGCAAAATATGCAAGACAAAATTTGAGATCGCATGCAATTCCACGTATATAATATACTAGACAGTGAGTGGCTAAATCATTTACATCAGTAAAGGTCGAAAAGTTTATTTCAGGGTCTCCAAGATCAACGTATCCAACGAGCTCACCTGATGACTTGTCAAATACTAAATTGTCTTGAATGCATATTTCATCAAAAGAAAGTACAACATTTCGCTGAATATCAGAGAGGTCTTTTGTATTTTCTTTTAATTCAGCAATCACTGCTGGGTTAAATCCTACAGATGGTCGAATAGCATTCTTATAATCGCGTAGTGTCCGCCTACTTGGAAGTGTTAAAATTTTAGCATCTCTAAGTTCATCATATGCTGAGGCTGATTTAGATGCAAGAGAAAGACAAAATCGAATTATCATTGGATGATATCTAGGAACTTTGCTAGTTAATAAACGATTCTGTTCTTCCCAAAAAAGTTTCATAAATGGTGTCATGTTTTTTTGGTTTTTACTAATTATAATATCAAGATCAGAACTTAAACAAGTGCTGACTTGAATACCTTTAGCCTGTATTTCCTTTTGCATTCTTTCAATATTCTGCAAAAGTTTTTTATTTTTAGAACGCTCTTCAACGAGTGCTAACTTTACACGATTTGGATGTGTGACAGATAATGGGGCATTCAAATGAGCTGGTTGATCAATTTTTTTTGAAGTACTAACTTTACATTTAATAAAATTAATTTCAAAACTTAAACAATTTACACACTTTTCACAATCAGAGCCAATAACAAAACAATCTTTGTGACGTTTATATTGACTAGCTTTAAATGGTACTTTTTTCTCATTGTTAAGGTCAAATTTATGAGGAATAGAATGATTTATTAGATTTCCATCTTTATCGCAATCTACCAAGTCATATGTTATGCCAGTACACATCTGTAAAGATTGAACTTTATTTAACAATTTTGATATTTTAACATGACGAACTGATCGTAAAAATTCTTTATACAAGTGATGGTCATCAGGCAATGTCCATCCATAAACAATAACAAAAAATTCTAGACTACATCCAACAACAACTTCTAAATGTGGTACTAACGTAAAAGTTTGAAAAGATTTAAATGAAATAAAGTTTTTATCATATGATATAAACCAATTGAGTTTAAGCTTCTTTACTATGTTAGTAAGTTCACTAAAGTTTTTGTATTTGTCTGTATGTTTTTCTTCTGTAGTCAAAATATCTTTAACAATAGATATATGCCTTCTTTCAGGAGCTTTAACAGTTTCATGAGATTTCTTAGGAATGTTGAGCAATGGTATTGCCCCAAGCTTTAACGTTTTTCGACCAGTTTCTATAGTATAAAAACAATAACATAATCAGACATAAATAAAACAAGACTTATTCTACTGCAACAAAAAAAATGATTTTGTTTTGGTTTTTTAAAAATTTAAAAAAGATCTGAAATAAGTTTTAACAGGCATAAGTTAAATGAGGAGTTAAAAGATTTTAAATAAGATAAGAATATTTTAAATAATAACATTTTAACATTTAAAAAAAAGAAAATAACTCAGAAAATAACTTACTTGTAAACTCAATATCTGTTGGCTCAAAATGAAGTTCACAAAGAAAGATATTTCCATTTGCAATGCGCTCTTTAAGATGCTTGTCAAAATGTCTACATTTTGACAAAATGTTTAGTATATTTTTTCTCCATTGTTGATGAAAATCATCTGGCCGATTTGGAAGTTGAAATATTCCAATACCTTGGTGTTTAGAGTTTCTTGTAATTCCACATTCAGGAAAAGCACAATTTGCTCCAGGCATTTTTAACTCAAAAAAGTTATAAAATAATTTTAACTTAATTATTTAAACAGCTTAAACAAAATTAATGTTAAAATTAATTGAATGGCAAGCTTTTAGAATTAAGAGAAGTGAATAAAACTGAAGACTTTCTTCAATCGGTAAATTTTTTTTGCACTTACTTTGATCACGTGATTACTATATTTTTAAACAATATATTGTTTAATATATTAATATATATTAATAATGGTCTTATTAATAAGACCGTTTTGTCGAAATACTTTATTTCCCGACCAGGTATAACTTCTATTGACTATGATCAAAGTAACTACTTTTCTTTTAAACAAAAGCTTAAAGAACTCATTTTTGCAATCGATGATTTAACAATATACTTCTGATATTTTTTGTGATATTTATTTTTACCATTTATTTAAACATGAACTTATAAAAAGTATTTGTGTATCCTAAACAACTATAATTTACATATATATTAGATAAAACGCATCTTGTATTTATTATGGATTATTTTAAGTTTCTTACTTTTGTTAACTTATTTTTATTTTTTAACCTTGTAATTATCTTTTAAATTTTAACACGAACATTTCTTAGCGGTACTCGACGACAAGACCTTATGGTCTTCTACGAGTCCCCGCGTTCTTTTATTTTCTAATAACGACCATTATATTTATATATCAATTTATTATTATATATTTGTATTTGAAATATTGTAACGAAATGCTTATTTTACATGTAATAAAAGAACAAAAACAACAACAACAAAAAAATATCATACAGACGCTAAAAAATTTTAAAATTGTCTTAACTAAACCGAGAAGGTTAGCAATCTTGCTCCACACGTTGTCAAGTAACGCCACATTACAAACATGGAAACAACATAATTTAAACTTATATAAACTTTAACTCATATAAACAAACATATATAAACACATATATAAAGACAAACATATATATATATACACACATATAAACACATATAGCAAAAAAAACATATTCAAAACATCAAAATCACATAAACATACTCGTCAAAATTATAAATTAAGAACATTTGTAAACACAACATTATTTTGGTAGTATTTGTAATCGACATACCTTTGTAATGCATGTTTATCAACATTAAAAAACAAACTATCAAACAATTATGTTCTTGAACATGCAATATATAATTGGCCGTGTAAAAAGCAGGGCTTTTTAAGATAAACACCAACTTTATCAAACGTTTGACCTTAACTTTTACTTATCGTCATTGAGAATATTAACCAAACTGGAAACTGACGACGTTTTAGCAAAAAAAAGTAAATTTGAATCTGATGGAGCTAATTACAAATACTCTGTTACCAGCTGAAACGCGTGTTAAACCATCAATTTAATTGTTGTGAAGTGCACGCACTGTCATACAGGTTTCATTGCAAAGTCCGCCTTTAAGATCTAAATTTCTAAATAGCATTACAACCAGAGGCGATTCTAGGAAGAAAAATGAGGAGGGGGGGGGGGCGGAGATATCCTTTTAACGTACCGACTGGCTTCTAAATAATAAATAAAAAAGGTCCTTAAAACGAAATTTTGTCCAAATGATATGTGTCAAATACTAGCCAACTAAATTTGTGAAAAAACAGACAATAACTTAAAAATCACCTTCTTTGGGTGTGGGGGGGGGGGAGAGAGTGAACACCACCCACCCCGTAAAGTTGTCTCTGATTACATCAGCACCAATTCTCAATTTTTGGCAATGAACCAGCACACTTGTGAAATCAAACTGTTTAAAAATTCGATTTGAAAATTTGAAAAGACTGGCACTCAAAGCATGTTTTCAAGTAAGTTTGTATTTACTTGATGTTTATCAAGTAAATACAAACTTACTTGTCTTAGGAATACACCATGAATAGAATTTGGAGTTACATTACATATGCTATTTTCTAAATAAGGCATAGAAAGTTTGAATAAGCCATTGCAACGTGCACCCATTTTTAAGAAGAGTTGCAGCTATTCCCGTCCATGCAGCTGTTGCAGTTCTAATATGTCGGCTCCGTGTTTCAACTATTAAATTATTGAGAAGGATTTCGTGGTCGACAGTGTCGAATGCATTCGATAAATCAACTAAAACTCAAATTGTATAATTATTGTCATCAAATCCTTTCAAAATATTGCTAGCCAAATCCATCACAGCATGCTCAGTGCAATGATTTCTCCGAAATCCAAACTGTTTAGGATATAAAATATACTTTTTATCAATGAAGTTATATATTCTATTATACATAATACGTTCGAGAACCTTTGAAAAACAGGAGAGAATTGAGATGGGTCTGTAGTTTGATTCTAAAGAATCGTCGCCGTTTTTATATATTGGAATTATTTTAGCAAGTTTTAATTGATCAGGAAAGTCCCCGTTTTTTAATGAAAGTTTAAAAATAATGAAAAGAGGCAATTCGATAATGTCAAAGACACTTTTCAAAACATTTGCATTAATTTCATCAAGACCTGCACTTTTATTTGTCTGAAGCATGTCAAAAGCTGAACGAAGTTCATCAATGGAAAATTCCGAATTGTTGATAATAAAATCTGATTTTTTCAAAAAAGACTGGAATGTTTTGCTACTTGGAGAGATTTGTTTGGCTAAATTTTTCCCAACATTTATAAAAAAATTATTCAGTCTCTCAGCAATTGTTTTTTTTATTAAAAATTTCACCTTTATCGGTTTTCAGTCGATTAGGGAGGTTGCTAGATGTAATTTTTGTTTTCCCTTTTATATCTTTAATTAATTTATTTAAAATACTTGTAACCTCATGAACTTTAAAACAGTTAGTTTCTAAGAAATAATTGTCAAAAATGTTTACGTCAGGATCAATGTTTTTTGAAAAGTGACATACGTTTTCACCAGAAAATGTATCAAAAAAATTATAATTAATTATTTCCGCCATTTAAAAAGACAGGAAAAAAATATAATAAAAAAAAAAAAAAAATGGAAAGTTAAATAAATAAAAAATGCATTACTTTTACTTTGAAACTTTAATTGAGTATTTTACCGCGTTTTTAAATGAATAATTTTGTCATACCTCACTGCAAGGTTTTCTCCCTTTAGATATTGTTCTTTAACTTCTGCAAACAACTTTCTTCTGATATCAACTGTCATTTTGGAATAATCTTCATTGACATATATATTTGAGCCTTTCAATCTATTCGTTTCTTTCAATATTTTGATTTTATCTTTATAACTTTTTAACTTCATCACGATTGATCTTGTACGATTATCTTTTTTAATCCCAGTACGATGTGCACGTTCAATGTCACTTCCTAACAAACCTAGATTTTTCTCAAGAAATATTTTTACTTTTTCTTCCGTTTGTGTCCAAGTTTCATTATCATTTTCCGATAACATCTGCTACATCTTAATTTAACATCTGCTTAATAATAATGCAAAATCAAACGTAATGCTTCCGTTTGATTTTGCATTTCTTTCTTGAATTCCATGAACATTTCTTTTAAAATTTTTTTAATTTCTGATAATGTTGCCATGATATATAAAAATCGAGTTCAAACAAAATATCTATACTTATACAAAATACGAAAAAAAAAAAGTAAGTTTATATTTATATTTCTTCGTGTTTGCAAATTTAGAAAGATTTATGAAAGCTTTTAAAAACACATCTGTTCACAACGCAAGCTGAGTTGCAAAAACAACAAAAAAAAAAAACTTAATAAGCTTATGGTGGGTGGGGAAAATATCTAAAAATTAATAAAAGGGGGGGTGGGGGGTAGGGGGACGTTTATTAGGAACTCGAGAGTAAGTAAATGTTTTACCACAACCATCAGGCCCATACATAGAAAATAATTTTGAATGCTTATTTTCATTATTAGGTTCCTAATTAAGTGCAGCAATAATAACATCAGCTACATTACGCTGCTACATTAGGTTCCTAAGTGCAGCAATGATAACATCAGCTACATTACGCTGATTATTGTTTAATGACGGTCGAACTTGATTTGCTTCATCAATAAATACGTGAACATCTTCATCATTATTTTCTGGAATCTAAACACTGGCCAAATTATAATCAGCTATTATTTTACCACTTTGATTAATTATAGATTTAATTTAACAAAAAGCTGCCTGTTCAGCAAGTACGACTGCCCGAGTCAAAAAGTCTTATAAAATCCTATAAAAATCCTAAAGATCCTATAGTATTCTGATAGGATCTAAAGGATTCCTTTAGGATTTCTATAGATGTTCAATAAGTTTAATAGGAAACCCATAAGACCTAACCAGATAGCACATTAACGTTGGCGCAACGTCGGATAATTTTACACGTCCCCTGATAGAGCAGCATTGATTGCAAGAGAATCTACTAAATTGTGCTACAAGGCTTTTATAAAGCTACCATATCTTGCATCAAGACTACTTTTTATGCTCTAATACTTTTATTATTATTCCCCACCATTAATTAGTTAAAACTATTTTAAAAAATTATTTTATTATAATACCATTTTGATTGCCATATTTGAATTGATTTAAGCATCTGTTGACTAGAATTTAAAATATCTTTAAAGAACTTTAAATAAATTACTATCTAATGATTAGATGGTTTTAAGTCTTTTTTTTTTAATATTTTTAATATCGTTTTTATATTTTTTAATATTATTAATATCGTTTTAATTTTATTAATATCGTTGAAATTATATAAAAGTTAAATATATAAAATTAAAAACTATTAATATCGAAAAATAATGTTTGGCGACTAAAAATATAAAATATATAATATTAAAAAAATTAAAATATTACATTCCCAGCAAACATTCTATAGCGGAATTTTATTGGACCTATATAATCATTTTGAACTGTAGTTTTGCTAAATAGTTACTTAGTGGACCATTAGTTGAAGCCAATAATGTGTCAGGTTGATGACAAACATCTAATAACATATGGGAAAGTTATCGGCTTGCCATTAAATGTGGATGGACTTATGGTCCACTAAGTGACCATTAGTGCATCCACCTGAGCTAAACTCCCCCAGCAAGCACATAAATTTGTTTCAACGTTATTTCAACGTTGCGAAATGGTTATATTTATATGGTTGGAAAAAAAAAAGATCTAAATTTCAACGTTAGTTCAGCGTTAAAAAAAAACGTTAAAGTTTCAACGTTGATTTAATGCCATATCTTTTAGACAAGGTGCAAAAGCGTAAACATAGTTGGACCTGTTCTTGCAGCCAACCTCCAGCCATTGTCACATCCTCGTAATGCTGCTTCTCCTTCTCTTTTCTACAAATACTATGATAGGCGCTAGTGTCTTTTGTGCCATCTACTAAATTCATTCTCATGTTATGCCTCATTCAATTCTCATGTTATGCCTCATTCAATCTTATGCCATTCATTTTATGTCTCATTCAATTTTCATGTTATGCCTCATTCAATGAAATCTCATCCCTTTACTGTGGTTGTTCTTAAGTTTACTAAGTTACCTCAAATTTACTAAAGAGGAAGAGGTTGATTGCAAATTAAACTTTATTGATATAATTATTAACTCTGTAAATTATAAATTTAATATTTCAACGTTTTACAAAAAAACATGCACAGTTTTAAAAACTAATTTTAAAAGCTTCACTAATATTAATTATGAACTAGAACTCATTAAAACTCTGATCAACAGGGCCTTTAAAAAGCAGCAAGTTTTCATCTAGATATTGTAAAAATTTAACAAACACTCCAAAAAAAACTCTTTTCCCTTGAACTTAATTCACAAAACCTTAAAAAATTTACTAAACAATCTTATCTCTCCTAAAGAAAACATGTCATCTGCAAAACCATCTGATTTACATTACTATAAACTACCTTATATTAGAAAATTTTCAAATACAATTTAACACTAATTAATTAAACACATTTAAAATATTGTAAAGATAATATAAAAGCAAGACTACTTTTTACAACTTTTAGAATAAGTAGTATGTTTTCATCAAAAGACCCTTACCCCAAATTTAAAATCCTTTATTGTCTATACATTTCCCAATCAGCAGTATATTTATGGCCAAGGCTGGCGAGCCAGGTCCGGCAAAACACATGTGATCCAGTTAAGGGAGTGTTTTTAAGGTAGATGCAAATTTTACGGAGAGAAAAATATATTTTAGGTACGTGCGTATCTGGCTTTTTACGGCACCGATTTCAAAGTTAAAAACTAGAACCTTTTTTTTCAGAGCGTGCTCGAAGTCGGTGTGGTAAGAATGTATTTATTTGTCTTTTTTAAAAAATTTACATCAACTCAGACTTTATTAAAAAAGTCGAATGTTTAATGTTGAATAAGTTATGTGTTTTTTTTTATGGTTAATAAATTTTTCAGTTATTTTATTGCTATTTAAAATTTCGTTCCTTTTCTGGAAGTGCATTTATATGGAAGGCATGTTGGTACATTTTTGAAATTTTCTAGTCAACTGTATAAATCAATTTTCTATGTGCCTGCAAAATATAATTTAAAAATATTCATGACCACATAACGTAGTTTTCGATCCAGTGGAGGTTCAATTTCCACCCTTTTTACTGTTACTGTTACTGTTACACTTTATTAAACTGTTTCTGCTACTGTTACTGTTACTTCTTGTTATAAATTCTGTTGTTTTTTTTCAATTACCAGTGATTTTTATTCATTTTTAAAATTTTATTTCTGTTCCGGAGGTGCATTAATATTGAAGGTATGTTGGTACACTTTTTAAATTTTCCAGGCAACTGTATAAATCTATTTTCTATGTGCCTGCCAAATTTCATTAAAAAATATTTATGACCAGAAACCCTATTTTATCGTGCAGTGGAGGTATGTATTTCCACTTCCGTTACATAGTTTAAGGCGGGGGGGGGGGGGGGAAATTCGCCGGTGTTAGCCAGTGAGCATTCAGTATACTTGTTTTTCTATTCATAATAATGAAATATTTTATAAGAACTTTCATTAAAAAGTTTTACTTTTTTAAAATAGTCATTTATTACTAACAATACTGTTGATTTTTTTTAATAATTGTATAATCATTTATTGTGTTATTTATTGTATATATTTTTTATTGCTTACTCTTTTCACACATCAAAATCAGTTTCAAGGCTGCCTTGAAACTAATTTCGGTGTGTGAAAAGAGTAAGTAATTTAAATTATCTTTGGCAGAACTTTGCCTTAAAAGCAAAGTTCTCCTAAAGATAATTTAATATGGTGAAATAAAAATTAAATGACACTTTTATATGGGGACTCAGCATTTTCTCAGCTTTTTTCCATACCCTGAATTTACTATATAACCACCTTAAGCTCTATGATACATAAAAATTATATACATGTTTTATCTATGCGAATAATAATAAATGTATCTACACATTTTTTTATAGGTTAACAGTAATTTTTTAAATTAGTTAGTTGTGTTTAAAAGCCAACCCAATTAAATATTTGTATTATGATTGTTTGATTTAGTCCATCGTGGGACCTAAAAAGGAAACATTTCTACTTGATGGTAAAGCTAAAAGTTAGTTAAATTGTAGTTTTCACTACTAGCTCATTTAAATATTGGTTGTAGCAATGGACGCCTACTGCATATATTGGCAACTAACAAGGATTCATATAAAGTAACTGTAGAAGTAATCAATAAGTATTTTAACATCAAAGTTTGTACTAATTAGATTCTGCAACTAGTTAAAACATCAAAAAACTTTGTAAACCATTTTTCACGAGATTCAAAATAATTTATTGACATCTGCAACATGCTCTGTGCATACCAAATAATAACATCTGCTATGGCATAAACATCGCAATCAATTGCAACCTCAATTCACATTGCTATATGTTCTTCATTTCTCTTTCAACAAATCAGTGTTTTATCTGTATCAAACAGTGGTCACTTATCTCTTTTATCTGGTCCTGCTATAGAAACCTCTTCTCATGAACCACTATCAAGTTAGAGAGCTGACTAGTTAAGTCCCAGAAAAAGGTTATGAGAAAGAGATTTAATTTTTTTGTTTAAAACAGCAGTTAAGATTAATCGAAACCAAGTTTTCTTATCAAAAGACATTTTTATACCAACAACTTGCTGAAAAAAATTATGCAATTCTTGTACTGCAAAATGACATTGATACTGATTTTACAGGAAGAGTTGGAGGAAATTCAGCAAGTAACACAAAACACCAAAACTCAAAAACACTACTCAGCAGATATTAGAACACTTATATACGACATGCTTGTGTGTTAAGTTCCTGGTTTCATTCACTACACAATTCATTTTCTACACAATTCTGCAATACAAACTTCGCTACAAGGATGCAAAAGGTATTTATAATTCTTTTACTTTAATATAGTGTAGGTTTGTGAATAAAATTGTTTTTAATTGAGTTTAACTAAAATAAATATTATAATTATTGCATGTTTTTATTTCACATTCTCCTTGCAATAGCCAACTAACTTTCTTTATGTAATTCATAAGTGATCCAAAGGGTTTTGGGTTCTTTTTGGACCAACACGAGTTGCCCAGAAGATTGCTACCATGCTATAGAGGGAACAGAATACATATGCTTTTTCACACATGTGGTACTTTGATCTATAATTATTCCATATTGAAGATATTTTTGTGTTCTGGCTTGACATTATGTGAATGTCTGCAAAATGGTTTGTTTCAAGACTTTACATCTGAAACAGGTATCTTTTTCTTTTTTGTACAGTATTGAAGGATCAACTTTTAATGTTTTTTCTGTTTTGTAATAGTAAAATGTGTTGTGTATCAAGAGTTAGGTGATTTTGTTTTTTGTTTTTATATAGGAAATCATTCTCCTCTTCTCTATTTTGTAATGGGTTTTTCAGTTATTGTGTTAAATATCTAATGTATTTTTATTTATCTGTTATTGCAAGGTTTTAACTAATAGCATGCTAAAAGATTGCAATTTGCTACTGTCTTAAAGTCCTCAAGATTATATTTAATAATTCAGTAAGATGTTATTATAGTTAGATATTAATTTATTTTGCAGTAATTAACAGTTAAATATTAATTTATTATACAGTAATTGCTTGTAAGTCTTGATATTTTTAATTTTTTTTTTTAATTTTATATATCTTATATATATTTTATCTTATCTATAATTGCAAGGTTACACAACATGATGAGTACTACACGCTTGCTTTGATGTTTGTTGATCTTCTCATTTCAATATTAAATCGGTTAGATCATATTTATTTAGAGATTGATTATGTTTGTTAGTGTGTTTTTTAGTTATTGTGCTAAATATCTAATGTATTTTTATTTTTCTGTGATAACAGTTGTATATTTATTTATTATCCGGGACACAGGGTATCCTAATTAAATAGGTATGGCTGTATTAATTGAGAGGTTTATTTGATTTTAGATATCATTATATGTGGTTTCCATCGCGTACTAAAGATTCGACTCTTTCTATGGATGTCACAGTTTTATTTACTTCAAAAACTAGGCTTTTTTCAAAGCCACAATTCTGTTAAAAACATTACTAAGCAAATAAAATAACTATTACAGTGTAAATTTATTGTTAAAGAAGTATGTTTAAAAAAAAATATTTGTATTTTTTGCAGTTTGTTGGAATTTATATATTGTTAGATAGATAGATATGTATATGGGCCACGGAAGAAAACAAAAAGGGGAGCCGTGGTAGGCATGACCTCCCTTCCCCCCTAATTGTTTAGTAGTATCCTTTTTTAAGAAGGTTTTTAGTTGAAAAATATTTCAACTATTATTATGTATATTATGATTTTTTTTTTTTTTTTTTTTTTTTTTTGTGCTTTGGCCCCTACTAAATTGTCACGCTTTTGCCTATGATATATATTTATATATATATATATCTTTATATAATGACATAATAAATTTCTATTAACTTTTATTAAATCTAAACTTTTGTCCAAAGTAATTGAAATTCATTAGTAACGATAAAAATAAGGCTAAATAAAGGGCGGAAAGGCTATGAATGTCTTTAAAGTTCAACTATACGCTATAGAAAACTTAGACTTGATACATATTTAATAACAAATATATATATACTTTTTATAAATATATATATAATATTGTAAATACGCGATATTTTTTTTTTTTTTTATACATATGGAACTTTTTATAAATTTTATTATTAGGTTTTAAGGATTAAAAATATTTTGTTATTTTCGAGATTTTTTAAATAACGTTATTAAATCGTTTTGCACATTTCATATGCGCAAATTAACAATGGGTAGGCTCTCTTGTCAAACCCTTATTCCGACGCTGTCCTTAAAGTCCGCGAAATGGCGAGTTATAACGCTTTAAAGATTTCGCGATGGAGTTGCTACGGAGTTTATTTTTAATTTTTTTTTTTTTTTATCAAGATGCTCTAAAAAATCCTAATGGTCTTGTCACAGCGCACCGCCACAAGGAGAATACCATTTAATAAGTTGGCTTTACTTTTTATTATATTTTGCTTAATTATAAAATCAAATACTTATAATAAAAATAAAATATTTAGTATATAAAAGTTTTATAGTTTGGTTATTTGGTTATGTTAAAATAATGTTTATTACGTACTTTGAATATTTTGCCTTTTAATGGCGAAATTATATTTAGCAATTGTTCGAAGCGTCGTGCGAAAAATTTGCAGGGAAAATAAAACAAAAAATTTGCCGGGAAATTGTTTACTTTAAAAATGTTTAGATTAAAAATATATTATATACATTTGACATATGTAATGTGAGTTAGCCACACATCCATTTCCTCGATTACTCCGTGACTTTTTCAAAATTCCACCCGATTTCGCTGATTATTATTTTCAAAATTCAAGCCAACTTCACTCATTATAATTATCAAAATTCAACCCAATTTCACTCATTATTCACTGATTTTTTTGCAGAAAACTGAACACAGGTACTCTACCGATTATTATCAATTTAAATATTTATTAAATGATTAAAATAATATGAACGTATCATTATTAACGTAAGTTTATTAAAAATTATTATTATTAACATCAAAAATAGATATATTGCCAAAAAACAAATTTTTTTTACCTTAATTATGATGAACTCAGTTTACTTTTTAAACTATTGGCTAATGATCAATACAGTAAATTTCAAATCATTAAAATTTACCAAATTAAAACCATATCTCAACAGTAGGTTCAACCAAATTTAAACAAAAGCTAGACACTAAAGAAAAAAAAAAGAAAAAAGAAAGAAAATATTAAAGAACATATTTTGTTATTCATACATGTAAAAGTTTACTAATTTATATAACTATATTATTTATATAATTAACTATTAATTGATATACAAAAAATGTTGTTAAAAACCTTGAAATATAAAAATATTTCTTGGTTTTTAACAATATGACATAAAAAAAAGGCTTTTAAAGAAAATCAACAGAAATAATGTTAAACCTTAACTAGACAATATTGGACTCCTACTTATATTAGGAATAATACAATGTAATAAGACTCATACCCCAGGTTCCATTGAGTCTAAAGTAAAGAAGTACTTTAATTTATTTTAAAAAACTAATAATAAAAATACTGACAGATCCTCTCAAACGCTTCATCTAAACTTTAAAAAAAACTTTATTAAAATAAAGACCTGAAATATTTCTAAAAAAAAGCCAAACTAAAAAAACCAATTAACTAAAAGTGATACTATTGACTAACAATTGTTGTTATCAACTATTTTTTCTCTAAGCAGTCTCACTAAAAAGTTAAACTTTTAACTCTAACTTCAAATCAAACTTTTTTTTAATAAATATAAAATATTTACAATCTTCATTTAAAAGAATTATTAATAACTGTTTGTCCTTCTTAAAATTTTTTTGATTTTGAGCTTATTCTCTTCTTGTCACCATAAATCTGAAGTGTGATTGGACTATTGAAAGGTCCAAACCAGTGATTCTAATATTTGTTAGGGTTTTCGGGCCTCAAGTATTTGGTTTGATTAAAAAATAGACAAATCACATTGGTTCGATAGGAATATTGTAAAAAGAATCGTCTAAAGGTGCATACTCTTCAATTATATCTTGTTTCTCCTTTTCTTTTTCTAAAATTTTTATACTAGATGCAATTCTTCTTTTTTCTGTCGAAATTCCAATTCTGCCGGTAAATTTTGTTTTCAAAATTTTTGGTTTAGGTAATTTATCTGAAATTGCACATGCACACCTTTTTTTCTTAGTAACTTCATTCCTTTCTAATGGGATGTTGTCGTGTTTAGGGACAAGTGTTTGAAGCTCATTTAGGATTTCTTGAAGTTTAAACTTTAAGGATTTAACCACAATCTCATCATAAACTAAGTAACTTAATGTTTTTATTTGAGAAAGGATATCTCTACATGATGATGCATTTGTTTGCTTAGGGTATATTTTATTCTGCACATTTTCCAAAATAACATGACCTTGTGTCTTAGATAAGTTGTCTTCAAAACATATATTAGATTCTTCTTCATGACAAGATTTATTACCATAAATGACTGAATTATCCAAACAAAAGTATGGAGATAATCGGTAACTATCTGGCAATAAATCCCAACTAACTCCATCGCAATGTTGAAAGATTGCTACCATATGTTTGCATGGCATCAATGTTTTCTTCCATTCTATGCATTGGCAATCAGGGAACTTAGTGTCTTGACCTCCAATAGTGACAATATAACTTTTTGCACTTGTGAAGCCGTATTGAAAGTTATATGACCATCAAATTATACTGTGCATATCCATCAAAACATGCTGTGCATACCCAGTGATTTAAATCATGCAAAATTTTAATTGAGTCATAACTCAAAGCTTTAAACCCCTCTATCCCTTGAGAAAGTAGTGTTAACTGACATGGTTCTTCATTCGCCAAATTAAGGCTAACGATAGTATTAACAGCGTCGATAATGCGGTCATTTAGCCATTCATTAGACTCCAAAATTTCTTTATCTTCTTGTTTTAGATTCAGTTCCTGTATCCACCATGCAATTGGTGGGAGTGGATCTTCTAAATCTATAATTTCTATTGAAGTTATCGCTTGTTTCAAATGAACATCTTCCAATAAAACAGAAGTTAGTGAAGTAATTAATGTAGGTGGAAACCAAAGTTTTAAATTGCTAGCATTAACAACTTGTTTAATAATTTTTTCTCCAAGTTGAAGTCTGTAAACTCCTTTACCTAACTCGTCTATGATTTTAAAAGGACCTGTAAATCGCGCAGAAAGCTTGTCACCCATTCGTGTGTCACGACGGTTATGTTTAAGTACCATTTGCCCGACTTTATAGGTTGCAGCTGAATGCTTAACCTTTTGTTGCGCTTTTTCAATCTTTTCTTTCGCCTGTTCTCGTGTATTTTGTAGGGATTGTTTAAGGGTAATTATATGTTGAGGTACATCATCGTTTTCATCAACAGAAGCCTCGCATATGTCTTTTTCTATATCGATTGAAAGACGAGCTTATACTGCTTACATTAGTTGGAATGGCGAATACTTTACAGATGCTTGAATGTTAATGCGATAAGCAATAACAACTGGATTAATAAATAGGTCCCAATTGTCACTTTCTTTGTTTATTAGCTTGAGAAAATGTCATACCAAGGTTTGATTAAATTGCTCCGTCAACCTGGAAATCCAATGAGATAAAAGTTTGTTTTATAATTATAGAAAAAAATTTGTTTAATATGATATGGTGTGTATATGTTGTTGTAATGACATAAAATTACCGTTTTAAAATAAAATTTTTCAAATTTTATTTTAAAACGGTAATTTTATATAACTATATTAAAAATATTATAACTATATAAAAATATTCAGCCATCTTGAAAAAGAATTATCTGTTTTTTAAAGATATACCCATTAGTTTGAGGATGGTATGCAGATGTCATAGCAACTGTTATTTTCATTTGTTCACAGAGATCGTGGACAAGCTGGTTCTTAAATTCCTTACCTTGGTTGTGTAAAATTTTGTTAGAAGCACCAAATCTGAATACAAGCTCCATCAAAAATGCATGAACACTAATAGCATTTTTTTTCCGAATAGGTTTCACTTCCACATATTTCGTAAGATATTCAGTAGCTACACAAAAATAATTTTTTTCTTTTTTTGTCTCTTTAAGAGGACTAATAAGGTTGATACAAGCCGCACATTTACGTGCAAAATCTTTGACGTCTGCTGCTATACAAGACCACCAATACCGATTGGTTACTTTAGCTATTGTTGCAGATTGACCGAAGTGACATCCGCTGATAATTCCATCATGCATAGACTTTATTATATTTTTTTTTTGGTCTTCATCAATGATAACTCTTCCTAATTTAGTATGTAAACTCTTACTCTTGTGATAAAGAAAATCTTTTACAATCAAAAAAGAAGTAGCTTTTTGCCGCAGTCGTCTTTTTTGTGCTTTATCGTAACCAGGCGGATACACTTTATTTAAAATATAATGTTTCAAATTCATATAAATTTCTTCGTCTAGTTTAT